AGATAACCCTGCCTAGTGTGAGTACACCCTTACTCAGGTCATTAAGTGTCTGATGTGACGAGTGTGTAAAATTACCCCACAAATAATGTTTCATAACTCTGAAACTGACTCTTTAAGGCTTTGATCCTGATTTTGTCACTGTTGCTTTATATGCAAATGAGATTGTGCTCTTTTCAAAGAAGGGCGGAGCTACAAATGCCTGTACATCATACCTGCCAACACTCCTGTTCCTCATGTCATTGGTAGTCTAGCATCAAATCTCATAAAGCTTTGGAATCCAGTAGTATCTGGATGCAGACTTGGATTCGCACGCCGAGACTGCATATCTCAGAGATGCAATGTCAGACACAATGGAGCGAGTGACGTCACGGTGAGGGGCGGGGTTAGCGGTGGGCATTAAAAAGCCTTGCATGCAGCTCAGATTCCATCTGCACTGAGTCTGCAGCCAGACCGCTCTCTTGGAATCAGTCGAGGATGAGCGAATAGAGAGCAGATTTGTATTTTTGGGTGAACTCTCCCTTTAACAGAGCAGAGGGAATATTACAGGTTTATTTTCCAGAAAACCTAATAACCTCACGCACGTTCAGGAGCCTGCATCTCTGCATGTTTACTTTCCAAGATTTTCCAGAGCCTTGACATAACTGTAAATATGTTCAAGCAGTCGTGGGAAGCCGGTGAATGTTGTGATCTGTGCATTACAGATCTGCTTGTTTCAGACTGACGGATTAAACAGGAAGTGCAACAGTTTCCCTCCAGGAAGATCATGTGAGAGAGAACACTTCCTTATTCCTGTCTCAGCACAGCAGATCTGCTTTATACAAGACATTCAGTTCACATCAGAATTATTTGCCCCTTTATCTTCCAATATTTCCCAAATGATGTTTCTCAGATTAAGGAATTTCTCACAGTGTTTCCTCTAATATTTGTTCTTCTGGAGAAAGTCTGATTTGTTTTATTTGGGCTAGAATAAAAGCAGTTTTTAATTGTTTTAAAGTCATGTTAAGCTCAATATTATTGGCCCCTTCAGCAATATTAGTGTTGGATTGTCTCCAGAATAAACCACTGTTATACAATGACTTGCCTAATTACCCTAACTTTACCCTAATTACCCTAGTGAAGCCTTTACATGTCACTTTAAGCTGAACACTAGTGTCTTGAAGAATATCTAGTCTAATATTATGTGCTGTCATCATGACAAAGACATAAAAAATACAGTCAAACAGTATCCAAGTACAGAAATAAAACAATCAATAATGCTGTATAATAACAATAACAACAACAACAACAACAACAACAATGATAATAATAACAATAATATTTTAATGATATTAATAATAATAATAATAATAAACAATAATAATATTTTAATAATAGTATTAATAATATATAAAAATTAATCATAATAAAATTAATAATAATAACAATAATAACAACAACAATAATAATAATAATAATAATAAATTATAATAACAATAATAATAATAATAATAATAATAATAATAAATGTACAATAATGCTGTATATTTGTATAAATAATTAAACACATTTAATACATCCTGCCATGTGACGATTGCAGATTCACACACTGCCCTATCAATGCTAAAACAATATATTCTGCCGGGCGCATATATCTGATGAATAAAATAACACATAAACGAGCAGAGCGCCTCTCCAGACCTCAGACTCATTCTGATTGGCTGGTGTTTAATGCAGCTTCCTGTCGCCCGCGTTCACACAGTTTACTATCAGACCGAGTTTATTAACACTTTATTTGCAGAATACAGCGTATAAACACACACACACACACACACACTTCAGAGGAAGAGCTAGACGCTGCTTTAATACACTGTTTTTTGACATTTCACATGGGTCACAATCTGCTATAATGTTAATATTTAGATCGTCAACAGTCTGCTTATAATGCAGCATAATTAATATATTGTTTTAAAGTGGAATTATAATTAATAAACAATCCATGATAATATAGAACTTTTTGTATGTGAATTTATTAAAATATATCAGTTTATGAACAGTGGCATCAATCTTACAGTGCTCTTAAAGGGACAGTTCACACCCAACATATTAATATTTGCTCACCCATGATTGCTTCTTAAGCTTTATCAGTTTCTTCCTTTGAACACAAAAACAGGATATTTTGAAAAATGTAAGAAATTGCTAGTTTGTAGTCAAATCAAGAGTTGTAAAAGTGGCTGTGCATATAAACGCAGCACAGTAGACACGCAGTCGCTTCAAGCTATAAATAATTATTAGCAGAAAAAATTGAGATATGATCATTAACTGTGAATTGTGGGCACTTATGATCCATATTCTGCTGTTTTTCAGTCATTTAAAATCCTCATGTCCCTGAGCTATAATTATAATTATAACCTAAAGCTATAATTCAGCCATGTTTGTAGATATTCCTCAGAGATTTAGTCACTGGTGACGGCATTGTAGCGCATTAGTGTCTGCTTTAACATGTAGTGTTAGGTTTTTTCATTCATTCATTCATTTTCTTGTCGGCTTAGTCCCTTTATTAATCTGGGGTCGCCACAGCGGAATGAACCGCCAACTTATCCAGCATGTTTTTACGCAGCGAATGCCCTTCCAGCTGCAACCCAATCACGGGGAAATACCCATACACACTCATACAGTACGGCCAGTGTAGTTGATCAGTTCCCCTATAGCGCATGTGTTTAGATTGTGGGGGAAACCAGAGCACCCGGAGGAAACCCACACCAACACGGGGAGAACATGCAAACTCCACACAGAAACACACACTGAGCCGAGGATCAAATCAGGGACCCAACGACCTTCTTGCTGTGAGGCGACAGCACTACCTACTGCGCCACTGCGTCGCCCTAGTCCATTTCTCTTTGAACTTAAAAATAAGAGAAAAACATTTTTGCCATTGAAACGGAAGTAATAATTCTTATTATTTTATATTTAATATTTATGTTAGAATTTTGTTGTTATTTTTATTATAACTTGTTGAAATTATTTTCCTGAATGTTGATTTTGTATTGTAAATTTTATGTTGAGTGGGGTATAAAAGTTCAAAACAAAAAAAAAAGTTCAATGACAAAAAAAGTAGTAATTCTACACTGAAATGAATAAATAAAAACAAGAATAAAGAAACAAATAGTATTTGTCTACTGTTAATCTAAACATCATATTAGCTGAGTATTTCCCTTTAAAGAGAACAAATGTAATCAGAGGCTGCTGAACATCTGAAATGCTCTGTTGATCAGCTGTATTATGGGCTTGTTTAGTATTTTCATTGTGTTTGTTTTTTTCTCTTTGGTGTAGAAATGTGTGTATTCCATGCAACATATGAAGCTGATGGGTTTAGTTTCTGTCATGTGACTGGTGGTGCGCTCGCACCATTATTTCAACAAGGTGCACCTGGAAAGCATGAGCGTGTGCCACATGCACATCACTCTCAATATACGTGCAAGAAAAGAATTAACGAACTTGCGCGTACAAAAGAAGCCACATGGGAACGACCTTTAGTTAACAGCCTCTCGATAGTTAATCCAGTGTGCGTGCGTATTAGCCTCAGTGTACAAGGTGCCTCAGTTAATGGTGAAATCGCTTAATTGTTGCGTGCCTAGTCAATAATGCTAATATTCAGCACAAATTCACACATTTCTTAGCACAGAACAGGCTCTTATCTGCTCGATGATTATCTGGCTTTTTGGCTAAAAAACATTTAAATCCCTCACTCTGGGAGATAGTCATGTATTGTCCCCTAATGGTGTGACTACATCTGAAAACTATCGATAGTAGAAAAAAAGGTGTACATATATATATATACTTTTTTACTTTTTTTAAATTGCAATAATTAAACTTGTAATTAAAAATAGGAGTAAATAAATGTTGACATACTTTAAACTCCGCCTCTCAAACTTACACATATCTGCATATGCACATGAGCCACGCCCACGTGTGAACATCCAGTCATAGACTGAGACGCTAAAGCAAGCCCCGCCTCATGTTTGTTTTATGCTGTTTATTAATATTATGGGAGTCTCTCACCTCCTCCACTCCATTGGTTCTCTGGGCAGCTGCTGAGTCAGAGATGTGTAGAGGGCCGTGAACAGGGTCTGATCACCCGCATCTGCGCAACACACACACACACACACACACACACACACACACACACACACACACACACACACACACACACACACACACACACACACACACACACACACACACACACACACACGTGATACAGAAAACCCACTGACAGTGAAGATGATAATGAGAGAACACAGGTGTGTGTGTGTGTATAATAGAGAGCGAGTGTGTGTGTGTTTTCCTGTATTAATGAACACACACACACTCTCTTTATTACAAAATTATTCAAACTGATTCAAGAGAAGAAAAAATAAATGAAAATAAAAAATAAACAAAATCGCTGCTGTGTTTGTCGGTTTTGCTCCACATTATTAGCGAGCAAAGCTGTGAAACACTCTCTGCCATTCTGATATAGTCTGATAATAGTCTGATATATCATTACAATTATGAATAGTCTGATTTCTTTGTATTTAAGCGATGACAGAAGGAAAGTCAGCAAAAATAACTGCAATGACAGATTCACTGCAGGTGTGTGTTCATTAACATTAGATTAATAATAATATTCCTTGTTATATTGACAGCACTGAGTATTTTGAGGTGTCAGTTTTGACGTGATTCACCACAGTAAATCTGACAGTTTCACAATGACAGATTCAGCACTGCAATGAATCATTCAAAACGATTCTAAAGAATGAATCACTGCTGTATTTGTAGCTTTTGCTCCACATTATAAATAAGCAAATTCATGAAACACTGCCATTCTGATAAAGTCTGATAATAGTCATAATAAAATATATTAATAATATGATTATATATAATAAAAAGTCTAACAGTCATTTATGTATGCATTTATCTGATGACCGGAATTCAGTGAATACAGTAAACCTGCAAACAGTGACGCCAATAATGAGAGACCACAGGTGTGTGTGTGTGTGTGTGTGTGTGTGTGTGTGTGTGTGTGTGTGTGTGTGTGTGTGTGTGTGTGTGTGTGTATTAATGTCAGAAAACACACTCTTTCTCACTCGGTATTGTACTGATGTCATCGAGTGTTTTGAGATGACTGCATTCCTATAAGACAGCTTGTCGTGATTCACCACAGTAAATCTGACAGATTCAGCACTGTAGTGAATCACTCGAACCGAATCAAAAATGAAACCGATTCAAAAGAACGAATCGCTGCTGTGTTTGTGGTGTTTTGCTCCACATTATTAGCGAGTAAAGCGGTGAAACACTCTCTGTCATCCTGAAAGAGTCTGATAATAGTCTGATATATCATAACGATTATTAATATCCATATATGTCAGTCCTCAGGTGATGACAGGAGGAAATGATCGGGCGTTCACAATCAGAGACAGTGAATACTGTCAACCTGCAGACAGCGAAGACGATAATGAGAGAACACAGGTGTGTGTGTGTGAGAGAGAGAGTGTGTGTGTATTAATATCAGAAAACACACACTCTCTCGTTATCAGTGTGTGTGAGAGAGAGAGAGGCGATGAGCGGCGCGCGCGCACGGACACTCACAGGTCACTATGGGCTTGTTCTCCATGGTGTAAATGATGGGTTTCTCCTCATGGGTCTCCATGGGCTCCGCTGATCAGCTTCAGTCCACCATCGGCAGAGGAATCGATCACTTTCAGCACCGCTGCTGTATCGATGAGGCCCCGTCACTCTCCATTTCCGATCTGCTGACACCCGATGATGACTTCCGGCCGCGTCACACATACAGCGGATGCGCGCGCACTACTCTACAAAATAAACAAATAAATAGTGCACAAAGCTTCTGTTTACTTTAACATCTTCACACGTATTACTTTAACACTTGAACATCTTGGGTTTTATTTCTTGACAGTTTACGATCATTGATTAAACACAGCAGACACTCAGAGGAAAGTAAAAGCAAAACCACTGCTACTGAAAATGAAATAAACTTGAACTGAAATGGATAAAAATAAAAACTGCTGCTTTATTTACTTTAGTTTGCCGATACGACATCAAGTGTAAAGCTGAAATAAAACAAGTCTAAAAACACAAGAATAGAAGCAAACAAAAACAATGTGAATTCTACAACATTAAACATTGTTTTTAATAAATTTTTAATAAATTGTTTTTTAACAATTTAATAAACTAACAATACAACTGAAACAAAACACTGTGAACTTAAAGAACTATTTCAAAATATTCATAAAATAATGCAAAATTACAAGATATTCATGAATAGTTTATTTATATATATATATATATATATATATATATATATATATATATATATATATATATATATATATATATATATTGTCATGATGCATATATATGGAGGAAAAAAACCTGCAAAAACATTAAATAATATGTAAATTTAGAAACGTGTCATCATTCCTATTAGAACGAACCTAGCATGTTCCCATTTGTGCCTACCAACTTAATAACTTGTTGTTTAAATGTGTTTCAACTATTTTTATCTCTATTACAAAATGTCTGTGTTTTAGTTTAATTTGCATATATTCATTTTTTTTTATTAATATCTACATAACTTTGTCTATTTTAGTACTTTTTCACAAAAAGTTTTTTAGTTTTTAGGTTGTTCAGGGACAACAGATGAAAATCATCCTTCTGACTATTCCTGGTACATTTGCAGAAATGCTCATTAATGTACACTGTCCCTGCCAAATAAACAAATAAAAATAAAAATAATTAAATAATTGAGTAAATAAGTATCCATAAATTCCTGAATAAATAAAACATTAAATTGGGCGTCACAGTGGCGCAGTGGTTAGCACGATCGCCTCACAACAAAAAGTTTGCTGGTTTGAGTCTCGGCTGGGTCAGTTGGTGTTTCTGTGTGGAGTTTGCATGTTCTCCCCGTGTTGGTGTGGGTTTCCTCCGGGTGCTCCGGTTTCCCCCACAGTCCAAACACATGCGCTATAGGGGAACTGATCAACTACACTGGCCGTAGTGTATGAGTGTGAATGAGTGTGTATGGGGGTGTTTCCAAGTACTGGGTTTCAGCTGGAAGGGCATCCGCTGCGTAAAACATTTGCTGGAATAATTGGCAGTTCATTCCACTGTGGCGATCCCTGATAAATAAGGGACTTTGATGAAGGAAAATGAATGAATAAATATAAACAGAAGCATTCTTCAACATACTGGATATCAGTGTTATTTTGGACTCATTGAGCTCATTTTTATGAAAAGTTTGAATTAATGATTGTATTTTAATTTTACGTTTAGATAATGTTTCAATAATTCTAGATGGGGGTTAAATTTCATTAGTTTTATTCAGATATCTGAGTAGACTTTTCCCCCCCAAATTTATTTTAGTTGTATTTCAAGCTATTAATTATTTAAGTATTTAATTTGTGGATTTTTATATTAATTTATTTATTTATTAACATATTAATTTTTTAAAAACTTTTTTTCATTTATTTATTCATTTTCTTTTTAGTTTAGTTCCTTTAATTAATCTGAGGACGCCACAGCAGAATGAACCACCAACTTATTCAGATGTTTTATGCAGTGGATGCAGCATAACCCAGTTCTGGGAAACACCCAGTTTAATATTATTCAATTATTAATTTATTTTTAATCAATTATTATTCCAACAATTGTCTGTCCCTTTTTACTTTTGATATATGTTCATGATGGAATCGAGTGTCCTTTTGTGTGCAGTGCTTTACAGTGACGTCATGAAGGGATACAGCTGCAGAGCCTCACATCAATATAGCATAATGTTTGTGACACTGTACAACAATAATGAATATTTAGTTCCAAAACAAATGTTATTACTGTCTTTATAACAGTATTATTACTGTTAGGGTTGTGGTAAGGATAGACGTTAATAAAATTCAATTTAATGAGTAATTTAATAAACAATATGAATAATACACAGTATAATTAGTTACTGTTTTACATCACTGTAAATTAATTGGGTTTAGGGTTGGGGTGAGAGTAGATGTGAGGAATCTAATAAATAATATATGAATGTGAATATGAATATAACCGTTGCTCTTTTTACATTACTGTGATGTTGGGGTGGGCTGGATCTTAATAAAACACAATTTAATCATGGTTATTTAATTAATGTTATAAACTATGGTTATCTTCCGGTTTTACGCAAAGCTTTTATTTTGAAATTTGCCGCACACGCCGCCATGTTCTTGTAAGCGCGCGCTTCACACAGCAGCCCGAGCGCCATTACAGATCCGCAGTGATGCGCGCGTGAGGAGCAGGCCGCGACACACTTCATCCACTCCACGGAGGACAGATCGAGGCAAAATCGCGGATTTGGATGCATATTTACCGTCGCTGATCCAGGAAAATGGCGTCCAGCAGCACCAGCGTGATCCAGGTGACGAACGTGTCTCCGAGCAGCACCGCCGAGCAGATGAGGACTCTGTTCGGCTTCATCGGCAGCATCGACGAGCTCAGACTCTTCCCTCCAGAGTGAGTCAAACACAGCTTTCACAAACACTGGGGGAAACTGCACACATTTCTGTACACAAATTTTTATTATTCTGCTCGTTCGTGCAGATTGAGGTCGAATATTAGCACACCCATTCACACTCGATCCGTTTCCGCCACAGTGAACGCGCACACTCTTCTGGTGGAGCTGTTAACCGACTATTAGTGTATTTGTCTTCATATTTTCTGCGTTGTGTGTATTAAGTTGACTTGTACACTCACACGCGATGTTTATTATGGTCATTGTACAATTTAATGTCGTTACTTTGTTACGTGAAGACGCGTGACGTCACGCACGTAAATCTGCGTCGACGCACAGTTCAGTTTTCGTGTGCACGTGTTTGATACACACTTTGTGTTAACAGTTGTTGCTTTAGTTGTGTTACTGTTATAATCACCAGATTTTCATTACAATACAATCTAGTTGTGGTTGTTTTTAATAGCGCTGTCTGTATATAATGCAGGTTGTTCATACACAAATGTAAATGTACCTACTATCTACTCTCCCTCAAGTGTTTTCAAAGTTTAGCTTCTTCTGTTAAACAAGTATTTCCGATAAAGCTGGAAGCCTGTAACCATTGATGATGAATATTGTATTTAATGTTTAGGATAACAGAAATATGTAATAAACCCCTGCTGGTTTGGAAGCACTTGTGGGGTTGTGGTAAATTTGGTTTTATGTTTGCACATTTAGATATTTTACTTAGTATAATTTCAGAAAAGCTTTTTTTTTTCTAATTCTAAATAGTAAAATCATATTAACAGCCAGTGACTATCAAAGTACAACACTGTTCGCAGTGGATGAAATAGTGCTAATGTTCTGATTTATACTGGCATGTAATTTCAGATTCTGTATTCAAAGTAGCCTGATCAACAATATAATATACGACTATAAAATATACGACTTTCCATAGAGATGTGGTTATCAGCTTTTCTTTTTAAACAATGCATTAGTTTCAAATACAATACTCATAACTGCATGCTAATTAATCAGTTTTAATCAATTCTACTTTACTATTTTTAAAATTTTAAATGTGCAAATATAAAATCAACATCATCTCAATCTTGGGGGAGAGTAAATGAGTAGATTTACTACTAAATTATTTGCTTATTTTTTTGTGATCTCGCTTTAAAGCTGATGAACATTTTACAGTAATTTGACATATAAAGCTTCATAGTTGTGGAGCAGGTTAAATATGTCAAGCGCGTTGCCTATTTTATTATATAGTTTGATAAAACTATAATATAATATAATAAAACTTATGTAATAAAAGTATGTACTAAATATATATTATATATTTGATATATAAAGCTTCATAGTCGTGGAGCAGGTTAAATATGTCAAGCGCATTGTGTATTTTATTATATTTTTTGTAGTAATTTTGTTGATTTGGTTTAGTTTGCATTTCATTGTTGAAGGATGTGATAGACTTTAGAGCAGATTTAGAGCAGATTTACTGGTGCAAGGCAAAGAAGAGACAACCCAACTCTAAACAACTGAAAGGGAACTTTGAAGAAAGCAGGCTTCTATTCACATTTTAATAGTACAGTAATTAAGCCTGCAATGTAAAGGCTAGCTCTGAAAATATTTAGTTTACAACATTGCTGTTGTGCAGCCTGCACACTATTGGTAAAGACTGAAAATTCTATTTACGATATTAATACAATTTCCCATGACTCAAACAAATGAAACATTTTAGATGGTTTCGGATGATTATGTAGGGATGTGTATCTACATCAAATGAAAGGTATTTGGGCATAACGGCATTGGTCACAGCTTTTGCTAAATCAGGGTTGTGATTTTGTTTTAATCGCCCAACCCTACCTATATGGTGACCCTGGACCATAGAACCAGTCTTTGCAAAAAATGCAGTGTATAGGTTAGAAATGTATTTTTCTCCCAAAAAAACATTAGAATATTAAGTAAAGATCATATTTTAATAAAATGTTTTTAATAATTTTTACACTGCAAATATATCCACTCCAGTTGTGATGATTAATAAACATTGGTAAGAATTTATTTTGGACAACTTTAAACTTTTAATTTATGTTTTTAAGCCCTCAGTTACCCGCTTTTTTAATAGTTTTATCTCACCCAAATGTTTGTAAAATCATTAACACTTTAAAATAAGTTTGCATGAATGTATTTGCTAACATAACCAAACAATGAATAATATATTCATTACGATATTGTTCATTGTTAGTTCATGTTAACTTTATTAACTAAAGTAAACAAGCATGAATTTATTTTGTACTATGGTTAATAAATTAAAACTATAATTATTAAATGCTGTACTTTATAAGTACATTAACCTGTATTCGTTAATGGAAAGCATATTAATTCAGCTTTGCGATAATGCATATCTTATATATGCACTTATGACTGATTTTCTGTTCTGGGGTCACATATGCAAGTTTGCAAACACTAATTAAAGGTTGTAAAAAGATGTAAAATTAAGTGTACTGTGAGCTAAACATGGCTTGTTCTTAGGTGTAGAAATAGAAATGCACTCTCTGAGACGTCACTAGTCAGTCAGTCACTCAGTCAAGCAGGGTTTTTCAGTAGCTTGTATTTAGTAACTTGTTCTGTGCTTTTGTTGTTTTTCACCCATCGAAAAACATCAGGCCTCCTCATATCTGCAGTGAAGGTAGGACGCTGCTGGATCTGAAGCCGGCAGATCTAAAACTGAGCCGGATCAAATCAAATCGAGCCAAACGTGAATATTTCACTGCTCTGTGCGTGCGTGTGTGTGAACTGTGTGTGTACACCTTGCAAAAGCTTCTATATTTTCTTTCAGTGATTCTCCCTTGCCTGTGACTTCACGTGTATGTTTTGTAAAGTTCCACGAGCCGGAGTCAGTCGGAGTATCGCAGCATCTGACGAACACAGTCTTCGTGGACCGAGCGCTGATCGTCGTCCCCTTCGCTGAAGGTTTGTGCCACTCCTTTATTGTGTTTAAATGTTACACATAATCAATCCCTTCGCAGTGTTGATGACGGCTTTAGTGCAGTGAACTCCAGCGGCCGTCACACACACCTGAACGCAGTATGGGGACATTCACACAGAACGCGTTTCTTTTAAAGTGCTCTGCTTTTTGTGTTTTCGATGTAAAGGCGCACTTGATGGATGTGTGTGATCGTTACTCTTCTTTTTTTGTCAAGTTATAAGCAGTTGAAATTGTAGATGCAGCGCTGCTTGTTAATGTCGGTTTCAAAGCAGTGGACCAATCAGAAGAGTTGAGAAGTGGGACTGCTGCTGCAAGTTTGTTTAAAGTTGTGTTTTAATGCTGCGTCTTTAGTTTAGTTTTTCCCCGCGCGTGTGTTTAAAAGCAAAGACGTGTTCAGTGTGAATGAGCCCTAAGACTGTATATGCACTCAGGTGAATATTTGAGAAATGTTGGGGATTAGACGCCCTGCGTGGCAGGCGAGCTCATGTTTAACTCATTGCCTTTCCAGTTTAGTTTCATTTTTTTTGTTAAACTTTTCTCTTTGTCATCTGTGTGTGTGATTTTTATAGTGAACAAGGCAATTGCAGAGCCGGCAGATGTCTGAGAGTGACCCTCTGCTGCCCTGTAGACAAATAAAAGCGGCGGCCCACGTGTGTTTCCCTGCTGTAAACTATAATCCTCTCTTGTGTCTCCATTCAATTCAATTGAGCTCACAGACAAAGATCGATCCGTCTTTTCTTGCAAAGCACTAATGTTTAGCCTCAAATCCTCTGATTGAACTGCATGCTAATCAGACACGAGATAATCCACGGTAAGATGAGATGTAGCGCATTTCTGCATGAGTCTTTTGCACATGTATATGTGAGGAGAAGCAGCGCTTGGCAAGAGCGTAATGATAGCTGAACGCAGGGCTTTCCCTGCGCGTATGTGATGATTTGTCCAATCTCCCTCCAGTATTTTCAGCTTTTTGAGTAAGAAACAGTCTGAGAATGTTCTTTTGTTCCTCTCCACATGACTGAAAAGGCCTGAGAAGCTTTTTAACGGTCGTTTTCTGTTTTTTGTTGTTGTGTTTTCCAGTTCTTTTCCCTGGTTCTGCAAGTCCTGTAAACCAGGCCCAGCAGAAAATGCCACCCAACAGTTTTGTCTTCTGCAGCTTGTCCTGTTTCTCTCTCATATGTTCTCTCTATCTCTCTCTCTCAGCTCTCTCTCTCTCTCTCTGGTGTGTGTGTGTGTGTGTGTGTGTGTGTGTGTGTGTGTGTGTGTGTGTGTCAGTGATGATTGTGTCTTTAGAGTGAAGTATTAATTTCAGAGGCGTTCACCCAATGGACTCCATGCACTCACCAAACGTTCATTTGTCATTTAACTCTAGTTATTTTTCTCTTCAGCACTTTTTGACTCACACACACACACACAGTCTGTAGTTAAGTTTAAAACGGGCTTTTGCTGGAAGAGGTCCTTTCTGTTGTATATCTGTGTCAAAGTTTACCAAAGGTAAAGGCAGCTTTAGCTCTGGAATACCAGCAAAAGCCCCTTGATGTCTTTATTTTTGTGTTAGTTCTGGTAAGTCACAGCATCAGTGGTTTAATGAACTGTCATTTAATGCTGACACCCAAATCATAAACTCTGTTTTGTCTATCTTGATGTCTCTGTGTGCTTTATAGCGAAGCAGCCGACCTGAATCGCTTGTTCATTATACAACTTATGAAACTTGAGAGCACATCCCAGTGGAGATCCGGCTGTGCTTGCTTACATTTGGTTCATGACTTAAAAAATCAAGTTCAGGTGATAACATCTTGGCAGTGTGTCTAGTGTCATTTCTTTTCTTGTAGTATTGTGCACTTCATGCTATTGTTAAGGGACCTCATGTGTTAGCTTGCTCTGGCAAAGTGAGTACTGATGTCAGTGCACATTATCTTGCAAAAAAAAAAGAAAGTTTGAGTTTGTGGGTCTGTCTGTGTGTGCGTGGAGAGCCGCGGCGTGCTTTAACTGTGTGTTTCTGTTCTGCAGGAGTGATTCCTGATGAGTCCAAGGCTATGTCTCTGCTGGCTCCGGCCAATGCCGTTGCAGGATTGCTTCCAGGAGGCGGACTCCTCCCCACACCCAACCCCGTCCCATCTGTGAGTGTCAATCTCTGTAACCCGAGGCTATATGCTTATTTCAGGCGATCGCCATTTTAAAACACGAAAGCGAGGCAGCGGTGGGAAGGAACCCGGGAGTATAGCATCAGCAATGTAAACATTGCAGCAACATGCTGTGAACTACAAACCTCCAGCTGTTGCCTTAATTGCAAAATGCAGAAATGGTGTAAACATCACTTTAATATCATGCAGTAAGTTTAATCTAAATAATTAACAGCAGATTAGGCATCAAACAACATCACAATCTCTTTAAGAGTAAGTGTCCTCCTAGGTTTCAGTTCATGGCAGCAGGTAAACACCATGGGGACGCTTCCCTGTTTCAGTCTATGTAACCCGGTGAGCAATAAAACACTGCAGTCCTCTGTAACACACCTTCGTGTTGTCTGTAGCAGTGTTGTCCCGGTACTGAAGTTTTAAAAGGTCCATTTCCCGCTAACATTTAAGCGCCGCCGAGTTCATAAACCGTGCTGGTTTGCCATAGTGTTCACCAGTGCTCAACTGGAATGACTGTGATTGGCTGTGAAGGTCATCAGTTCACCGCTCTTCACCGATTGCTAACACAGATAGACATTGGAGCGTTTTCAAGCCGTGAAGATCGGTCGATTTATCAGTAGATTGCTTGTTTGTGTTTGTACTCGGTAAACATCAGTGAACTGATGACCTTCACGGCCAATCACAGTCATTTCTGTTGAGCACGTGAACACCATGGCAAATCAGCAGTGTTTAAGAACGCCATCAACAGTGCTTAAATGTTAACGGGATATGGCCTTTTTTAAAAAAAATTTAACGTTTCAGTACTGAAGTTTTGTCTTATATAGTGAAAGAATCAGTTCATTAACTTAAGGTTGATAAAAGGCATCTAAAACGTGCGCTTGGGGAAGAAAACGTTAGCTAACTAGTTTCACTTCCCTTAACTTAGCTGAAAATGAGCTCTGATATCCCTTTTTATTTTCACTATTCATTCAGAACGGATCTTCAGATCACTTGGAAAGCGGTGAAATGATAAATTTGTGTCACTTTCTCTTCGCTGATAAGATATAGTCAGGTACACAACATTCCTCTCTGACTCAGACGATACTTCCAGGTTTCTTCCACCGCAGCCTCGATTTCGCTGTTTAAAATGTCCGCCTCGTGAAATCAGTCTATGGTCCTCCTTGCACTGTAGTGATGCTCGTGTGCTTTGTCTTGTCAGATTGGTGGCGTCCCTCTCGGCGGTCTTGGAGGACCAAACTTGGACCCGATGGCAGCTCTGGCCATGGCAGCACCCAATATAAACCCACAGGTTTGACCATTTTCCATTCCTTCAATAATGGCCAGACCTCATCTAGCCCTTGTACAGAAATGGCTAATGTTAAGTGCTAAAGGCTGGACGATATGACGCATATCAATGCCTTGATTATTTGAACTCTTTTGATGATTGAATGATTAATAAAATTTTCAATGTAATAAACTTTTTTCCCCTCATAATTAATTTGGTTTGTAAATATACTCTTAAATATCAAAGGCCTTTTTCTACAAGCGCAAGTAAACTTGATTACGTTGGTTGTAAGTTGTTCATTTTAGTTTCAGTTAGCTAGTCAGTCTTAAATGTATTGTAAAATTCATCATTTATAATTTTGCATAACTGACTCACAAATCATGAAGCTGTTTATGCAGCAGGACTCTTTGACTCATGCTTGATGTTTTTCTTCTCAGTCATTGTCAGCTGAGCAGCTCATGAAGCTCATGGCATCAATAGACCCCAAGTAAGTTCATCAAACACCCCATCTGCAATCATGCATTTGTGTGATTTTAATTTTAAAAATAATCCACATATATAGTATTTATTAAATGGAGCATTATAGGGAGGGTTCACCCAAATATGAAAATGTTCTCTGTTTTAAATCATCTATTTTTTGTGTGTTGTTGCAGATTGAATCCTCTGGCCGCTGGGCTCAATCTGACCCCTGGACTGAAGGCAGACGCATCCAATAAAGAGATTGAAGAAGCCATGAAGAGAGTGAGAGAGGCGCAATCTCTGATCTCTGCTGCCATCGAGCCTGGAAGTAAGTAACTGTGTTTGTAGTCAAAGATGCGAATTAGATTCATGCACCAAACTGGAATATTGCAGCGAGAAACTGCACAGATATTGCTGAGAGAAGTGTAGTTTGCTGCGCTGTTGGGATTCTCCACTGTGCTTTTTGTTCTTTAATACATGAGCTGCGCCTCAGAACACCAAATGCAATGGACGCAGTGAATGTGGTGGAGACAAGAGCACAGACAGATGCTCAAGACAGTTCTGGAGGGAATAATAATAATAGAAGAAGAATAATGCTAAAGCACTGTGATGACGGACTGATGGAGGGCTGAGTGTCTGAACAACATCTCTGATCCGCAACAGTGGAGAGCTGAAAACCAACATTAGAGACACAAACACCCTCACACACACACACACACACATTAATATATGATCAGCATCTGTCAGAAACTACTGATGAAGTGCATACACAGTTTATTCACTAAAGCTGTTCACAGCAGACTTTTGTGTTTTCAATTATTAGATATGTTCATATATTGAAACATGTAAGTTTTGTTTACTGCAATATTCCAAAATATGCATGAAGATGGGTGGTTTGAAACGGCTAGTGACCCATCAGACATTCTGCTCATGTAAATATTGAAGGATGCTACACTAAATTGTGTCTGTTTCTCTTTAGGTAAGAAGGATGATAAACGAAAGCGCTCGAGATCGAGGTCCAGATCCAGACGCAGGAGATCCAGGTCCCGCTCCAGACACAGGTCTGTCTTAATCGCAGTTTGAGCTGAAATTTGAGCCAATCTGAATAAATTGTGAGCACAGCAAGGTTATTGTAGTTTTGCATTTGTGAATTAGTTTTATTTTGGTAGTATTTTTAGGTTTGCTGTACGCTTGAGTTTTTGTTCATTCCAATAATGGCTGTTTGTTTTAGTTATGCATTTAGTTTAGTGTTAGTAGTTGTCGTTTATCAGAGTGCACAGAACATGTTTACATTTACTTTTGTGCAAAACATTTAGTATTTAAACCATGCAAAACCTCACAAATGCCATGAATAGAAATTCATTAAAATGATAAAGAAAAACTTCATATTAAAAAACAAAGTTTATATAGAGAGAGGGTGTTTAATATTTTATAATGTTCACTAAATAAACATGAGAAGGTCAATGTTTCAGTTAATGAAAATGTCTTTAGACCAGGGTTGACCAAACTGGATCCTTGAGAGCTGCTGTCCCTTCATATTCAACACATCTGCCCTATAATTTTCTAGTCCACCTATAAAGAGCTTGACCATCTGATTAAGGTGTTTGGGTTGTAACTGAACTCTGCAGGACGCTGGCCCTCCAGCCCTGAGTTTGAGCTCTCCTGCTTTTGACCAATAGCTTTAGTCTTGAGCTGCGGTCACGCTGGAGTTTGTGTGTGTGAAATTGTCATACTGCGCCAGGAAAAGGGCCGGGATCAAACAAGATGATTAGATGTTTAAAGCGAGCGATTGCTCCATATTTTACATTTCTGTGCAGAGAGGACATGTTTGGATCCTCGATTGGTCTCATGCAGTGATGCCATTTCACAGATCAGAGTTCACCAAACTTGAACTTTGCAACGCAGCGAACTGCAAAACTCGTCGCATGAGCTTGCATTTCCAGTCTGACACATTCACGTGCATATGAATGGAAGTCTTTGGGGAGAAAAATCAGCTTTAGTTTTGGCTTACTATGATGATGTTGTGACCGCAGGCGCTCCAAGAGTCACTCCAGGCGGAGATCTCGCTCCAGGAGCAGGAGGAGGTCCAAGAGCCCCCGCAGGAGGAGATCTCACTCCAGAGACCGCAGCAGACGCTCCAGGTCCAGGTCAGTGTCTGTCAGTCAGTCCTCAGGTGTGTCGGCTAGGGATGCAGACAATAACTCTGTTTAATTAACTGTAATACTTTTAATAACTCTACACGATTCACTATTAATCATGCTTTAATTTGTTAGAGTTAAAAACCATTAAGGCTCCACGATGACATGTTTCTGCTGCATGTAACAAAGCAAAATCATAACAGTTATGCCAGCAGTTCACATTGTTTTTAATTCTAAAAAGAGAAATAGTTTTTCTTATTGTTTGCTTTTACTTTGTGACGTGAGCTTCAATAAATTACAACACTATAAGTTTTATAGACAATTATGTTAAGTTGTTGAATGTAAAAATTAATCAACGTGAAATAAAAATCTGTAAATTTGAATGTCATTTTATCCAAACTGATTGATTTATTGATAACTGTAGATAATTCTGCTCACTATAATAGTTGTATAAAAATGTTCATGGCTTTTCATCTCTAGTGAGGCACTCGGGTGTCTCCAGGGTTATTGTGGAGAGATGCTGGCTTGTTTCCTCACAGATGTTTGGTTTGTTTCTGATGTAGAGATCGAAGGAAGGATGAAAAGTACAGGAAACGGTCCAAAACTCCACCCAAGAGCTACAGCAGCGCCAGACGCTCCCGCAGCACCAGCCGGTCAGTCTGGACTGTTGAGTGTTTATTAACTTCTCTTTTGAGTTTTTAGAATCGCCAAAAACATTCTAATTCATTAAAATAATAATAAAAGTTGCCATTTAAGATTTTAAAGTTCAGTTTTCCAAATTCAGAGCCAAATTCTGTGCTTTTCATTAGATTTAGTAAGAAAATGATTTCCTACACGCTTTAATGTAGAGCTATTTAACATTAGAGGTTTTCTGCGAATGTTTTATGTTTGTCTTTTAATTAATGATTTAATTTTTTAAACTGTTGATAGCCTAATCAATCAAACTAAAATTAAATTGCATATGGAAATTCCTTTTAATTTATCAACAATTTGTTTACTATTGAAATATAAACAGGAAAATTAGATTCTATAAAATAATATTTGAATTCTACTGTACAATAGTGATAAATCTGTTATGATGAAAGCTTTTGTTTTGTTTAATGATTCAGAAACTTGTCCTTATTTCTATTTAATATATTTCTTTAGCACTACTTTTGATGAATTTACCCAAAACACTTTAAATTAGGATTTTCTTTGGCACAGAAATCATTGGTCATGATTAAAATAATGCACTTATCAAGAGTAAATTGACAATTAAGAATTAATGTTAAACTTTCTTTGGTTTTGAATTAAAATCCAATGCTTCGTCCTCCAGGAAACGGCACAGAAGGAGTCGCAGCATGTCTCGATCACCCAAAAAATCCCGATCTCCCAAGAGAAAACTGTCTCGCTCGCCATCGCCACGCAGGTAATTCTCCCACATACACACACAGTTCTACATGATCTCCCTTCTGGGACACACTTTAACCCAACAACTGTTTCTATCAGGCACAAGAAGGAGAAAAAGAAGGACAAGGACCGCGAGAGAGACCGTGACCGAGACCGCAAAGAAGACCGCGACAGAAACCGGGAAAAACGGGAACGTTCCACCAGCAAGAAGAGCAAAGATAAAGACAAGGATCGAGACCGAAAGTCTGACAGCGAGAAGGGAGATGTGAAGGTAAACCGGTCTTACATCCGTTTAACAACAGCGTGTTTCCCTCAGACATGTGCTGGCTTCAAAACTAATGCTAGATTATGAGTAGATCACTTAAAGTCAATGCACAACTATAGGGTCGAATTACTATGGAAATACAATATAATAGAAGTCAGGGATCTCCAGCATTCTTCAAAGTATCTTCCTATGTGTATGGCATTGGTTTGAAACGGTGTAGTACGAGTAAATGACTGATAATTGACATTATTGAGTGAACGGTCACTGTAACCGGTTGTGAACTGCTTTGTGTCTGCAGGTCACCAGAGACTATGATGAAGAGGAGCAGGGCTACGACAGCGAGCACGAAGAACACGAGAGGAATTCAGACGCTGCTTCATCACCGCACGCTAAAGAGCCGCTAGCAGACAGCGCAGACGACGCCGGACGCGGAGAGTCTGACGGAAACAGTGAAGACCAGCGAGACGAGGACATGGACATGAGCGACTGAAACAGCCCCTGATCAGCGTTTGAGATGTATTGATGGAGTTCAGATGCAGGAAAGCTCATCCTTCTGAACTGCTCCATTCCTTTTGGTTCTTTTAATGCATCTGCTGTATTCACTGGTACACGCTCGTCTTAAATGTTCCCGGATTTTAGAGCTGTTTCTTTCCTCACGGCTGATGTGGAATGGTGTTATACTGTATATTTAGTGTCAACTTCTCCCTGAAAATACCACCATTCGCTATGTCTGTCTGCGGTTTCTATTTAAAGCAATTACCCTCTAATTAAAAGTGCTTGGATGACTTGTCGAGCAGTGTTGATTTATTTTTGTTTTTCATTTTAATGAAATTGCATTTGTTTTTTATAGTTAGCCTGAGTTAGTTGGAAAATGTTTGTCTTTTTAAAGTTGCCGAACGTTTGTGAAACTTCACGTAAACTGGATAACGTTTTCTCGCAGGTCCTTCAACAGTTCGCCTGTATCTGATTGTGTTTTTCTGTAGTGAACACACATCATAGACTGTAGTTTGCTAAGAAAATGACTTAACTGTACCCGTTTGCAATGTTACAAATTGAAAATAAAACTTCATACAAAATTCCCGTGTAGTCCTGGTTTCTTCTCAATCACAATGTGGGCATGTTGAGATATTACACTGATCTAAACGCTCACTTTTGAGGTAATGTTTGATTCTGCATGAATCTGAAATATGTAGATTAGAACATTTACAATTAATCTGGAGCAACTTTATCAAGTCATTACATTTTAATAAGACATGGTCAAGAGGATCTGCTGCAGTTTAAACTGAGCATCAGAATGGGGAAGAAAGGGGATTTAAGGGACTTTAAACGTGGCATGGTTGTTGCTGCCAGACGGGCTGCTCTGAGTATTTCTGCTGATCTACTGGGATTTTTACGCACAACCATCTCTAGGGTTTACAGAGAATGCTCCGACAAAGAGGAAATATCCAGTGAGCGGCAGTTCTGTGGGTCAGAGGAGAATGGCCAGACTGGCTCCAGCTGATAGAAAGGCAACAGTAACTCAAATAAGCACTCGTTACAACCGAGCTCTGCAGAAGAGCATCTCTGAACACACAACACGGCCAACCTTGAGGCGGATGGGCTACAGCAGCAGAAGAGCACACCGGGTGCCGCTCCTGTCAGCTAAGAACAGGAAACTGAGGCTACAATTCACACAGACTCACCAAAACTGGACAATAGAAGATTGGAGAAACGTTGCTGCTCTGATGAGTCTCCATTTCTGCTCACACATTCAGATGCTCGGCTCAGACAACATGAAAGCATGGATCATCCTGCCTTGTATCAGCGGTTCAGGCTGGTGGTGGTGGTGTAATGGTGTGGGGGAGATTTTCTTTGGGTCCATTAGTACCAATTGAGCATCAACGCCACAGCCTACCTGAGTATTGCTGCTGACCATGTCCATCCCTTTATGAGCACAGTGTCTCCATCTTCTGATGGCTACTTCCAGCAGGATAACGCAGCATGTCATAAAGCTCAATCATCTCAGACTGGTTTCTTGAACATGACGATGAGTTCACTGTACTCAAACGGCCTCCACAGTCACCAGAGCTCAATCCAATAGAGCAGCTTTGTGATGTGGTGGAACGGGAGATTGGCATCATGGATGTGCAGCCGACAAATCTGCAGCAACTGTGTGATGCTATCATGACAATATGGAGCAAAATCTCTGAGGAATATTTCCAGTAGCTTGTTGAATCTCTGACATGAAGGATTAAAGCAGTGTGAAGACTAAGAGGGTCCAACCTGGTACAAGTCAGGTGTACCTAATAAAGTGGCCGGTGAGTGTATTTCAATAGCAAATGTTCTCGTGTAAACGTGACTGAAATTTAATCGCAGATTTGTGTTAATATGTGTAAAATGTTTAGATTTTGAACAAGACTGAAACATAATGATGTGCACATACGAGTTCAAAACTGGTTTAAACTTGTATACCGTCATAAGTTTTATTCTATACAGCTCGGGAATCTGTCGTAAGCAACACAGCGCATTCTGGGTGTTAAGGACAAGTGAGCCAGATTCCCATTGATCTCTCTTGATTTTATTTATTTATTTATTTAGCATCATTCATCAGCAATAAATAGCAAATAATGATGAAAGTCATGTATGGAGATGTACTCTTGCAGCAGCTCGTCAACGGATAAATTCGTTCGTTTGTTGGGCGCTCGTGCTCGCTCGGCTTCTCCAGTTAATTCATCGCTGGACACAGAATGTTAGGGTGCATATTATCAGCATCTCAGACCCACAAATAGCGTTAATAAAGGTATATACACGTTAGTCTATTTTAATTAGTGTTTGTGTGAAGATATTACTATAAAACGCTAGTTTTTCTGTTGTGACTTGCATCTGTTTACTTTGAGCGATACTATGTTTGTCCACAAACATGGCCGAACGCGACTTGCCATCACGTAGACGTCCCACTTGAAGAACGTAGAACTTTACAACAGACAATAAGCACTGTGTAACATTATTAACACAATAATAATAATATTGATAATAATACTCACCGATATCGATCCAAAATCAAGTCTGACGTACAGGCCCGCCATTAGTAAAAGCCAGTTCCCGCCGAACATCGCGACAGGCCAATCAGAAACGCGTATTCCAGAAAGCCGCGGTTATAATTAATAAATAGCATTTTTCATATTTATTTATTTACAAAACTTAACACAGTCCACTTTGTGTTAACAACTAGCATCAAAGTTACTTAATTCATATTTAATAAGTAAATATAGAAAGCAGCAGGAGCAAATACTTAAATGTAGATGAGTTGTTCATACTCCAGTGATGACATCATCAACATTACACCTCTGTGTTTTCACCTGATAAACATTTAAAAGATCTTTTCACGCCCTATTAGTTTGTATTCTTTACAATCTAATTCAAGGTATCAATACATCACAAAAAAGTTATAACCAAAGCAAGTCCTCACAAGAGACGTGATACGTGGACATTTTATTAATTACAATTTGTCATGTAAAAGTGCAGCAGGTTCATACAAGGTTCCCGCTGTACGTCAGGGAGTTCAATGCGTCTGGGAGAAAGTCTGAAGGGTACTGAAGTCATAAAGCTAAAAACAGTAACATCAAACACAGGAAAAGAAGCTGGTAACAAAAAACAATAATAATAAAAAATAAAATAAAAAACACAGCAAAACACAGGAGTTCTCCACACTAGCCAGTAGTGGGTGATGGAAGAGTTGCAGCTCGTTTCCATTCGGAAGAGGAAAAACCAAAACACAAGAGACATAAAAGAGGAACTGTACTTTTCCAACGGGATATTGCTGGTGCAAACGTGACGCTAACTCCTTTTCCCTCGGCACACAGCAAAAACAGATCAAACACTCATGAAATAAGCCGTCGCCGTATCTTGAGGGCTTTTACCCAACGTCTCCGGAAACATTTGACACTAATATCTCAATAAACATACTCGTCAGTTATACATGTCAATTATACTACACTGGAGAAAACATGTTTCAGTTTGCATGTATTTACATCCATCTATCATAAAGCCAAACCAAATCTACAGGCGAAAACATGTTCTGCTACATCGACATCTGGCCCTGTAAGATCGTCAGCTAGTTATTAGGACGTGAGGAAAAGTAAAGCAGGTGAACTAAAGCACCGGAAATGCAGTGAAGGAGAAAGTGAGCCCATAATGCAACAAAAACAGGAACCAGAGCAGGTTATATATTTACAAGTTGCGCAAAGAAACTCGTAGAAATGACATTTACATAGTATTCTGCGACAGATTTCAAATCATATACAGACGCCTTCCGCTTCGTTCCTAAATATACACTTTGCTTTTAAGTGAAGTATACAAGTTTGTAACAGTTGTACAAAGATATATATGAAAACGCGGCTTATGTAATAATTTATAATGCCATATTTTCCTGCCAGGTGACGTGAAGTGACTAGCCGCCGTGTTTCTAACGTACCGCACTGTCCTGAGCTCCGACACACAATCGGAGATTTCTCGCGCAGAACTCAGAACAGAGCTTGATCATGTAGTGCAGGAGAGTCCCGTATATTCGGACAGCAGTGGCCTTCCCTTCCCTACGCGCCGTTTTCAACGCAATCCCTTTATGTCCATATTACATCAAGTATTTTCTACGTGAAACGCGCCGGGCTCCATCTGCTGGTCACCGGAGGGATGGAGGCGAGATGGAGACGGGACAGCGGGGTAAGGTGGGACGTGAAGCAGCTCAGAGGTCTGGGAAGCGGCTGGGATCCTCTTTGTAGTCGCTGGGAATCGTAAAAATGCTTTCGTCGAATTCATCGTAACGGAACTCCTGAAAGGTCACGGTGGCAGTGATGGTGGGGAAAACCGGGATGTCTGTGAACGACAAAAGCAAAACGCATCATTACTGATGTTTCCATCCAAATCTACAACATGTACAGTGGACAAGAGAGCTTAACAGTCTCCTGGAGTGCTTTGAAATGTGCATTTTTACTCGATGTTCAACCGAAACACGAAGAGAGAGTGGGACATAGTGAAGCTCCTCCCCTTTAAAAAAAACAGCCAATAGCGTTTTGTTTTATCACTGCTCTGCCAGTGAGAGTGGTTGAGCTCAAACACATCAAATGAACAGCAAATAAGAATAAGGGGGGCGTGGCATGTCAGATTAGAGAGCATTTGATTGGTCAGACGATGCAAGTATAAGGTGACGTGAATAAAACCATTGATTCATTTAGGCTAAGGAGACAAATGCAAATTCTCACAATGCAAATCAATTATAAAACTTGCTGGAATTTCTCACATGTAAATAGAACGGAACACGGAACACTGGGATTAGCACTCTTAAATACACTTGCGTATGAAGTAAATCGTATCTCAAAGCATTTACTGGGGCACTGGCGATTTATACTGGGGCACATGCAGTAAATGGGGTCTAGCGACACCCCTGGTTTACGTCTTATCTGAAAGACGGCGCTCACTGAGCAGTAGGGTTGTAACAATATACCGGTATGACGGTTTACCACGATTTGAACGTGCACGATTATCATACAATGAACAATTGCATATCAACGGTTTTAACCCTTAAAGACCGAGACAGCCGCCCGCGGCTAAAAATAAGTATTGCTCTTAAATGTTTAATAACTTTTGATCCGCTGATCCGATTCATACAATTCAAAGATTGACATAAAGAAGAGAATCTCAGCTTTCCAGTGCTGTATCACATAACATTCGCGGACTTTCAGAGGCTCCAGAATCAGTGCGGTTACGTCATCAAAATTTGACAACGCTGATTTGACAAAGAAACGCTCGTCACTGTGTCTCCGGACAAATCAGACATGATACATTGATGCATTGTCCCTCCTCCATGCCCAGATTGGTTCAAACTCGCTATATCAAAACCAATAAGCATAGGTTTCACATTTGTTTGTGGACCAAGCTTTTTGAACAACACGGAATGAGAGATAGGCATACATTTATGCGCGGCTAAATAAAACGCAAAAAAAAAAAGTTTTTCATGAAATAATTCTCATACTAAGTACTTTTGCATGCACAGCAGCACAGAAACATGACAAAACAGTGACACAGCAAAGACGAACTGCTGCTCTTGCTGTTTTCAAAAGACGCAAATGAAGATGCAGCTGTTTGTCTGCATTGCAGACAACCATATCCAAATCCATATCGATAGACAACCATATCCATGCTGGCACATAAAACCTAAGGATGTTCCATATTGAATCTAGTTTCGTTATGTAACTATTTATAGTATAGTAAATATTTATATCTATTTTTTACTGAGGATTTGCACCATGTTTATTTGGACTTTATTTGGACTTTGACACATTATTTATTATTTTCTTATTTTTTTATTTGTTCTTTGTAAGTGGTGTTGTTTATAGTAACTGAAAATATATTATTTGGAAAAAGTCAAATTTGCTTCACTGTTCTATTATTTTGTAACATTTGTAACATACCGTATACCGCGAAACCGTCAAACCGTGGTATTGTTTTAGACGATTATCATACCGTGAAAAATTCATACCGTTACAACCCTACTAAGCAGTATGGAGTCCCCTTCACTATACTGGGGCTTTAGGACCCACACAGGCCACAGGTTGAGCTGCTGGCCTCACTAACACCACTTCCAGCAGTAACCCAGCTTTCCCATGTGCTCTCCCATCCAGACACTGACCAGACTCAGCCCTGCTCAGCTCCACTGGGCGACCATGAGAGAGTAGCAGAGAGCGAGTTGCCGGCAGAGTTAACCAATGTCTAATGAAGCAGATCCATGTGTTTTTGCAATTCAAATATTTAGATTTCTCATATTTTGAACTGAAATCACTGACTTTCTGCTGGCTGCCCAATGCAAATATTTCTCTGACTCAAGACGATTTGTAACGGAAGCTCTGAATGGACAACCATGAACAAGAAAACGGTCTGGCGCTACTGTAAACCCCTGAAACTGTGTAACATCAGGATTTGTTGTGCTTCAACAGCCTCCAGACATCAGAGATTGAATTATTCCTAACAATACTGAACACGACCAACCTATTAAAGACCAGGGGCCTCATGTATCAACGCTGCGTACGCACAAAAACTTTGCGTACGCCAGGTTTGACGCTCAGAATCGCTCACGTTTGGATTTACTAACAATGAACTGAACGTGGGAATGTGCGCAGCTCCACACCAGCTACCTCCGAAAGCAGCACCTCCAATCCACATTCTGTTCAAAGTTTCTCCACTTGTTTGCTTTTGCCGTTGCTTTTTCGTTGGGTTTTGCAATTAGCATAGTCATTAGCATATTCATACGGGGGAGGAGGCAGGGAGAGGTTTTGTGCTCGTGTATGTCGCGCTCAGTTTCACGTTCATTCGGATGTACAAAAGAATATGCGTGAGATTCGGCGTACGCAGTGTTTCATACATCTGAATTTTTTTCTGCGTACGCACATTTACAGCTTTGTCCGTACGCAGTGTTTTAGTAAGATTTCCACGCAAGTCTCCGTACATGAGGCCCCAGGAATGGCTGAAACTAGTAAAAACCATCACATTAATGAGGATGGCAACAATGACAGTGTCTGTTTACCCAGTTTGACAGGAAATCCAGGCGGGAGTTTCATCTGAACGAATTCTCTGAGCTTATTAAAGTGCTTGAAGGGTGCGATGACCTCCAGCACATTCAACAACCTGTAGAGCAGAACACACATTAAAACACACACACACACACACACACACACACACACACACACACACACACACAATCTCTCTATCTCCCACAAACACATACACACACGCACGCGCACACACACAGACACACAGACACACACACACACACAATCTCTATCTCCCACAAACATATACACACACACACACTCACACAATCTCACAAACAAACACACACACACACAATCTCTCTATCTCCCACAAACACAAACACACACACACACACACACACACACACACACACACACACACACAGGAGCACACTTACGACTCGATGCCCAGAGGGAAGTCTTGGCTCATGGCTACTGTGGCTTTAAAGTTCTTCTTGCTCTCTTTACACACCAGCTCTCGACCCAGATGAGGAGCTCTGCAGAACACACACACAACCATCAGTCAGTCTGTCAGTGTGAGTGTGTGTGTGTGTATATGCAAGTTTGTGTGACGTACTTCCCGGTCTCAGCAGTGATGTACTCCTCCCAGGAGATAGTGTTGGGTGATGGAGGGGTCAGAGACTGCCGCCTCATCGGCTAGAACACACAGGCACACACACACACACACAAACAGTTGTTTCTATAGCAACTGTATATCAACATCCTTAGCCACGCCCCTCCTGACATCAGTTTGCTATGAGGGAATGATATGCAAAAAGAAAGCCCCGCCCACTACTCAATATTCAGTTTCAGTAGGAAGAACATCAACACACTGAAATGAAAGTCTCTGCATCGTCCTGTTCACACTAAACCTGACAAGCAAGATTGAACACATGTAGCCTTAGATATGATCATGAATCTGTAAATGACAACAATATAGGAGCTTTTGTTTTTAAATATTATAGATTGATCAGTGATCTGCTGCTCTCAGACCTGTTCACACTGCACTACAGGCTGATGAGCAGTAGAGGACGCTGCTGACGCTCGTATCTCTGAGGCCTCATTTATAATATCTCCATGATGGCAGAGACGGAAAACCCCATCAATCCCAGCGAGACCCAACCGCTCCATCATCAAACCGTCAGCACAATCATGTCAGACAGAAAATAAACCCAAACCACTCACACCAGCAAATCTAAATCCTCATGTAACGTCATATATTCATATTTCATGCCATGTCAGCAACAACGGCTACATACAAAAACAATTCATTAAAATAACACAATAAAAACCACTAAACAAAACAAAAAAAGCAGAAAATGGAGAGATTTTTAATGTTGTTATAATATCATACTAATTCTAAAGAAATCCTGGTATTAGCGTAATATTTCTCATTTCATTTAATAATAAAAGAGCACACTACTGCACTCATTAAAGCTGGACGTCATGAACAAACCTAAAGCACTGATCATCTATCCTGCTGGCTGTATCCGTGAAGAGTATTCTGGATGCTCTGTTAGTTTGTACTGTTAATAACACGTCATCTGTAACCCATTCCTTCTTTAAAGAGACAGTTCAGCCAAACATGATCATTTACTGCTCACTTACACACAAAGGAAGACATGCTGAAAAATGTTTAAGAATAAAGCCGCCACTGACATCCATATTAATATACTCAATATCTGATTATTCCAGCATTCCTCAGAATATCTTCCTGTGTTCAACAGAAGAAACTAGACAGGTTTGGAACAGGTGGAGGAAATGATGATGGGATTTATGAGTTACTGTGCCTTTAAGAGTGCTAGATGAGTCAAATCATCATGATCTTTAGCAGGGCATTAAATGCCCATCTGCTGCCCGCGCCTGACCCACTTCTGCCCCTGACTGAGAATGAACAACAGATGAAGAGGAGCGACAAACCTCTGCATCAACCAATCAAGAGCGATTAAAGGTGCTTCAGACACCACCTCCAACCAATAAACAAACTAGAGGTGCTTTAGACTCCGCCTCCAACCAATCCATATACTAGAGGTGTTTCAGTCTCCACCTACAACCAATTAATATATTACAGGGGCTTTAGACTCCGCCTCCGACCAAACAACAGACTAAATGTGCTTCAGACTCCGCCTCCAACCAATTAACAGATTAGAGGTGTTTTAGACGCCGACTCCAACCAATCAATATTTGCAGGTGCTTCAGACTCCGCCTCTATCAACCAATGAATAAACTACAGGTGCTTCAGACTCCATCTTTATCATCCAATCAACATACTAGAAGTGCTTCAGACTCCGCCTCTTTTAAGCTATTAACAGGATAGAGGTGTTTCAGACTCTGCATCCAACCAATTAACAGATTAAAGGTGCCTCAGACTCCGCCTCCATCTTCCAATTAACACATTAAAGGCACTTCAGACTCCGCCACCATCCAATCAACAGACTAGAAGTGCTGCAGACTCCGCCTCTATCTCTCAATTAACATATTAAAGGTGCTTCAGACTCTGCCTCCATCTTCTAATTAGCATATCAAAGGTGCTTCAGACTCCACCTCCATCCAATCAACAGACTATAAGTTCTTCAGACTCCGCCTCCATCTTCCAATAAACATATTAAAGGTGCTTCAGACTCCGCCTCCATCTTCTAATTAACAGATTAAAGGTGCTTCAGACTCCGCCTCCATCTTCTAAGAAACAGATTAAAGGTGTTTCAGACTCCGCCTCCATCTTCTAATTAACAGATTAAAGGTGCTTCAGACTCCGCCTCCATCTTCTAATTAGCATATCAAAGGTGCTTCAGACTACTCCTCCATCCAATCAACAATTAGAGGTGCTTCAGACTCCGCCTCCATCTTCTAATTAACAGATTAAAGGTGCTTCCGGCCCCCTTCTACATTTTCTAATTTACAAACTATAAGTGCTTCAGACTCCACCTACAGCTAATCAACAGACTAGAGGTGCTTTAGACTCCGCCTTCATTTAATCAACAAACTCGAGGTGCTTCAGAGTCCGCCTCCATCAATTAATCAACATATTGAAGGTGCTTCCGACTCCGCCTTCATCCAATCAACAAACTAGGAGTGCTTCAGACTCCACCTCCAACTAATCAACATATTAAAGGTGCTTCAGACTCCGCCTCCATCTTCCAATCAACATATTAAATGTACTTCAGACTCCGCCTCCATCCAATCAACAATTAGAGGTGCTTCAGACTCCGCCTCCGACTTCCAATTAACATATTAAAGCCTATTAACAGACTACAGGTTCTTCAAACTCCGCTTCCATTAACCAATGAACAGACTAAAGGTGT